CTCCAGCCGGACCACCGGAAAACGCAACAGCTCCAGCTCCAGCAGCTCCAGCAGCACCACCAGCTCCAGCACCGCCAGCAGCTCCAGTAGAAGGAGCACCCCCAGGCCCAGCAGCTCCAGTACCTCCAGTACGAGCACCTCCGGGACCCGTGGCACCAGCACCCTCAGTAGCAGTAGAAACTCCACCTCCAGCAGCACCTCCAGCTCCAGCAGCACGGCTCCAGCGCCGAGCAAACCACTCGCGCAGCTCCTGTGGAGAGGGTAGCTCCCGCCGGGACGAAGCACCCGAAGGACCTCCAGACCCAGCACCGCCAGAGGCCACACGAGTAGGCCCAGCACCCCCAGGCTCCGCACCCCCAGGCTCAGCACCCCCAGACTCCGCACCCCCAGGCTCCGCACCCCCAGACCCCGCACCCGCAGGCTCAGCACCCCTAGCAGCACCAGAGTCAACAGCTACCTCGACAGGCTCGACTGCGTCTACCTGGGACACACCTGACGGGGCAGGACCCTGAGGGTGGAGGGGGTCTACCGGGGGGGGACCTGGCGCGAGGAAGAGCGGCGGCGGGGGGAGGGGCGCAGTGCGGTAGGGGAAGAGACGGTAGTAAGGAACCGACTCGTCAAAAGTGACGTCCTGGGAGGACAGAACACGGCGCGAGGTGGGGTGGTAAAACTGCCAACCAGGCGCGTCAGGGGGGAAGCCAAGGAAGACCCAGGGAACAGCACGGGGGGACAGCTTGTCCGCAGACAAGTCGCGGACAAACGCCCGAGATCCCCAGACACGAAACGCAGACGCATCGCCAACCTTCCCCGTCCACCGCAGGGTGGGGGAGGTCTCCGGCAAGGAGACCCGGGGCTGAAGGTTGATCTGATGCGCCGCGTACTAAACCGCGAACGGCCACAGAAAATGGGGAGCAGCCGCATGGATCATGGACGTACGAGCGACGTCCATGACCATGCCAATGCGGCGCTCAGCAATCCCAATTTTCTGTGGAGAGGCCGGAAGCGTGAACGTCTGGCGGATGCCCTGTGCACGACAGAAGGCTCGCAGAAGGTCAGAGGAAAACTCTCCGCCCCTGTCAGAGTGTAGACGCAGAACAGGAAAGTCCGAGCCGAAACTCTCTCTGAGCTGGAGACGAGCTGCGCGGATCCAGTCGATCAACACCTCAGTGACGTCACCCTTGCTGCGCAAGGGGAAGACCGTGGTGTAACGCGAGTAGTCTTCAACCACCAACAGGAAGTAACGCTCGTGACCCTGGCCACGGACGCGGGCGGGGCCCCACACGTCCAGGTGAAGTGTCTGCAGCGTAGCCTCTGTCGGAGGAAACTAGGAGGAGTGAGGAGCAGCGCGCTGCCGCCCCTCGACGCAGGGAACGCAGGTGGGGGCAGGCCCCGGAGGGAGGGGAGGGAGGGACCGTGGGAGACCAGAGACAAGGTAACGGGAAGCCATGCCTCAGAGATGAGGCAGGGAGGGGTGACCAAGGCGGTGGTGCCAGAGGAGGGTCCGGTGGGACAGGAGACGACACGAGCAGGGGGCAGACTCAGGACCAGACCTGGACGCTGCAGCAAACACCTGACCCGAGGCAGCAACCGGAGGAGACTCAGTAGTCAGTGTGTACAGGCTCGACCCCGGCTGACGGGTAAACGTGGCCAAGTGTCGGCCCGTCCGAGCACACGTACAGTGGGTCACCCGCTGACTCGCAGTATTGAACTGGTCAACCCCTCCATCCTGTAGATCAGCACCACTCACCAAGTTCGTAGAGAACGAGGGGAGGTAAAGACCGGACAGGGTGCCAGAAGGGGCCGCCGGACACGGCAAGACAGCGGAGAAGTGGGCAAGGACAGGACCCCCAGAGGGGTCCGCCAGGGAGACCGCAACCGGCCGACTAAGCGGCGTGAGTGTGGTGCGGTCTCGAAAGAAGGAGCGGGAAGCACCCGAGTCAAGGGTGAAGGTGTGTAAGGCCTGAGCCGACGTGGTACCTGAGAGAGCAGCCTCACCAGCACCTGGGGCAGCAGACGCACTAGCACCTAGAGCAGCAGCCTCACCAGCACCTAGAGCAGCAGCCTCACCAGCAGCCTCATTGCCTGGGTCAGGCGGAACACACAGGTAACAATCACCCTCATCACTAGTAGACACAACATACATGGCAGCAAGAATAGCATCATAATCCAGATCAAAGATAGCAACCCCCGACCTAAGCAGCTCTCCCCAGCGGGGGATCTCAGTGGCGTCAGGGAACTGGAGACGCCACGCGTCCGTCAGGCGGCCGAAGCAGCGCTGGGTGGTGTGCGGGCCACCGCACGGCTCACCAGTGCGGTCGCCGGTACGCATGACGTAGGCACAGGGACCAGCATCCCCACCCCGCTGACGCGCAGCGTACCACTCACGAAGCTGCTGGGGGGGCGGGGTCTCACGAGTGCGCTGCTGCTGCTGGCGCTGACCACCACCGAAGCCGCCCCGCTGCGCAGAGCCACCCCGACCAGCTCCACCGCCGCCGCCGCCACCTCCGCCACTTCCGCCACCGCCTCCTCCTCCGCCTCCTCCGCTCCCACCGCCACCGCCGCCTCCGCCTCCGCCTCCACCGCCGCCACCGAAGCCCCCACCCCCGCCACCACTCCCACCGCCACCCCCACCCCCTCCGCCGCCTCCACCGCCACCTCCACCGCCACCTCCACCGCCCCCGCCAGCTCCTCCAGTGCCCTTGCCCCCCTTGCCCTTGCCGGTGCGGCGTCTCCCGCTAGGGGCAGACGCAGCACCGACCGACTCGGTGCCAACGAAGTCGACGGCAGCAGCAGAGGCAACGGAGGGCAAAATGGGGGAGGGGGAGCACCCTTCAAAGAAGGGGGTACGAGGGTCACCACGAGAGGCTCCTACAGCGACTATACTCTTCTCAGCTGCCAGGAGGCGCTCCTCGAGGAGGTCAACGGTGAGTGTGGTGGGGCAAACAGAGAGGAAGTGGTCCCTGACTGAGCGAAGGGAGTCAGGGAGCCGGGTGACTATGTAGTAGAGGGTGATGTACATGGGGGGGGGGTTCTTGGCGCAGAACTCAGCAGGAAGCGCAGCGCGGTAGCGGGTGTCACTAGTGCGAAGGTGCCTAATGAGGTCAGCGACTGTGGGAAAGGCGGCGAGGTCAGGGAACAGGTACGGCAGCATGAGGTGGCTAAGGGCAGCAGTGGCAGGGGAAGAGTAGCGTGCAGAAGGCTAGGAGCAGCTCAGTAGCAGAGGCGCGGCTCGGCGGTGCTCTTACCAGGGCGGGTGGGTAGAGTTCCGCAAGTGGTGGGGCAGGGTCGAGGCGCGCCGGCAGGGACAGGGTCGCGACAGCGGTGGCGGCTCCTGCTAACGGTGGCGGCGACGGCTGCGGCCCCGGCGGCGGCGGCGGCGGCCGGCACGGCAGCGGCGGCGGCGGCTGCTCCTGGCGGTGGCGGCGGCGGCCGTCACGGTAGCTGCGGCGGCGGCTGCCGCTGTCGGCGGCGGCGGCTGGTGCTGTCACGGCAGCGGCGACGGCGGCTCCCGCTGTCGGTAGCTGCGGCGGCGTCGGCCCCGGCAGTGGTGGCGGCGGCTGGGACGGCGCGACGGCTGCTGCTGCTGGGGCGGCGACGGCGGGGCGGAAGGGCCACGAAGGAGCCGAGAAGGGGCTGCGGAGGAGCCGAGAAGGGGCCGCTAAGGGCGGCGAAGGGGCCACGAAGGGCCGTGAAGGGGCCGCGAAGGGCGGCGACGGGGCCGAGAAGGGGCCGCGAGGGGCCGCGAAGGGCGGCGACGGGGCCGAGAAGGGGCCGTGAGGGGCCGCGAAGGGCGGCGACGGGGCCGAGAAGGGGCCGTGAGGGGCCGCGAAGGGCGGCGACGGGGCCGAGAAGGGGCTGCGAGGGGCCGCAAAGGGCGGCGACGGGGCCGTGAAGGGCGGCGACAGGGCCGCGAAGGGCGGCGACGGGGCCGTGAAGGGGCCGCGAGGGGCCGCGAAGGGGCCGCGAGGGGCCGTAAGGGGCCGCGAAGGGCCATGAGAGGGGCCGCGAAGGGCGGCGGAGGGGCCGCGAGGGAGCCGTGAAGGGGCCGCGAAGGGTCGTGAGAGGGGCCGCGAGGGGCTTAAGAGGGCGCGACGGGAGGGCAGGCACACGGGGCGCGACTCGGGCAGGAGCGAAGCGCGTTCCGGGCAGGAAAAAAATATCGATTTTCAGTGGTGGGCCCTAGGAAACGTTCCCACTAGGGAACCTGCTCTGATACCATGTTAAAGAACGAGGAATGATTGACTAAAGAATGAGTGTGATACAAATGTGAAACCCTAGAATTGTGTACCCCTTAGTATCTAACCCGCTACAGCCTACACAGGCTAGATCATTTAAGTCTGACAATCATCGCATCTAATCTATGTCCAGTGTATCTGGTCTACTGAGCGATAACATTTTCAGTATGAAAGTGTCAACCCGTAGATTTGGGCTGTTGAACACTTATCCTCTTTAAATGTAGAAATGGTCGCGGCCCTCCGAATTCAATGAAGCTCCACATAACCCATACCTGCAGATTTAAACAGTGCTCTCTAACGAGGCACGCGATGGTGAGGACCCTCTCAAATACTAAACAATCTCAATCTACCGTCCCATAAAGAAAACACCTATTTGTCTGCACATTGAAACCCCATGGTGGACGAAACCGCGTAGAGTTGCCGTGAGTCCGATGCAACCTCGTAAATTTTTGCGCGTTTGTGAGGTCGGTTTCTCGACTAAGCTGAGCTAGGCTGACAAACTCTACTATGCAATCACCTAAAAAATATATTGTTCCAACTTTTAATGAACACGCACATCATTTACATCGACAATGGTGAGTAAAGCACCCCTCCTTACTCCATGTTGTTCTGAATGGTTTCACGTCAGACTATACCGTGGCATATAAAAATCCTACGAGTCTGCGCGTAGAGTTTAAAAACGTTTCTCTACGCATGTGGCAAACGCAACCCCCCTGCACATAATTAACGCACCACCTCCAGAATCCCCTGCTTCTACGACCCAGTTCACGCGCCAAGCCTTTCTTTCAAAGGCTTTTTAGACTCTTCGTCCTTGATCGTCTTCCACTGGTCTTTGCCGAAGAGCTCTTCCCCCCATGTGTCGTCGCGCAGACCATAAAACACGAGGAGATACGAAACCCTCTCTTGCGCATCGTCCGTCAGGCTTTTCCCCCCAGCCGTCGATGTTCGCTGCCTCTTCGCGCCCCTCCTATCCTTGACGATAAGCCCATCTGCGAACGTAGTGGGACAAGTCTGGAACAGCACCTCATCGAGCACGTTCACCGCCTCGGTCGTTGCCTCCACCGAGTCGTCCACCCTGAACTTTTCCACCGCTAACATAGCTTTGTGGATGCGACGCAGCTGCTTTTCACATGTGCCATCCTTGGCATCAAGACGCACGGTGGGTTTGAACTTGCCTTTCTCTTCCTCGATTTCCTCACCCCTCTTGAAATGAGCCCATTTAACGATAAAGCATGCGTTCTCTGCAACAGCACGCAGTGTTCGGCCTTCCACAAAGAAGCTAGACTTGTTCGACAGCGCCCATGCATCTGCCACTGTGGTGCTGTCACGCCACGGCCTCACTACACTGTCGAAGTAGACAATATCTGGTGTAGGTGCAGCTGGCTCTGGGGTTGATGGGTCAGCTCCACCTTTCTCCATCTTCGAGGTGCCCGCAACTCTTGCGGCAGACTTGTCGGCGCCAAAGTTGCCCGCAGAAGAAACCGTGAGAGCGGCCAACTCGGCCTTGAGCTGCGCCAGCTGCTCTAGGAGACTCTTGTTGTCGCTCTGTAGGTCATGCACTTGGGCCTGAAGCTCGGCGTTGCGGACGTCCTTCAGCCCATTCTGCTTCCGCAAGCAATGGTTCTCTGTGAGGAGCTTCGCTTTCTCGTGCTCGCCCTCGATACAGAAAATAGCGTTCTGCGAAACGGAAACATGTTAGTCGATGAGAATACTCGCATTAACAAGACTAATCAGCGGAGAAAAAGACACTTACGGCCTCCATCGACTGTCCCGCGTTCTCCCTCATGTCGTGGCCGTTTTTGTCCATGGTTGCAACAATTTTGGCCCACTTTTGAAACAAGGGCTCCTTGCAGAGACGGCTTATCTACACATATGGGTGTCGCGTGCAGCTGCATCGTGTTTCATTTGGGTCGAACTCGTGCTCGCGACAGTGGATCCACATCATTACAAGGTCTTGCGCGACCACGTCCCGACCGCAGTTGATGAGGCACTCCAAAAACCTCCTCCCAGAGTGATGCTGCTTGTAGGGGGTCCTCGGACGGTTGTACTTGTCGACCTCGTGGTGAGGGACGGTTGGAAAGTCGAAGAGATGCATAGATCGAGTACCTCATCTGCTGCAAAAAGGTGAACCCAAACCCACGAGTTTACCTTTTTCAACTGCTTCTCGGCCCAGGGGAAGATGTGCTTTCTGAAAAGCTTCTTCAGCTTTTTCCACTCCTCTTTGTCTGGGAGAACAGCGTGTGCTCTGCCGATGTAGTAATCTCCCTGAGCTCTGGTGAATCCAGCCATCATAAGCATCGGATGAAAAGGAATTCCAATAATGTACGCCTTCCGCATCTCTCCCTGCTCCCACCCACCCAGGGCGCCAATGTCTGCATCTGAGCAATGGTCGTCGCTCAGCCCCTGCGCCCCGGATCGTCTGAAAATGTGGGTCACCTTGCTGAACATCCACTTTGCCTGTTTCATGACCCAGCGGATCCATTTGTTGTGAGTCTTGTACTTCATCTCGTCTTGCGGCTGCGGACCAGGGTCATTCGGCTTCCTTATGCCAAAGAACATGTGCTTCTTGGTCCACTTACGCGGCTTCCGAAAGATGAGACGAGGTACAACTCCTTTTCCGTATCTAGTCGGGACGAGATCGTAGAGCCAATGAATCCACAAGAAAACCCCGCCAACGTCGCAGAGCTGCCAGTCGATGTGCCTCGCCAGATACTGATGTGTCAGGTTATTCGAAAGGTTGGTCTTTGTTTTCCTCGAGGCGATGACGAGCACAGGAAGGTCCATCTTCCCTTTTACGCGGGTGCTGCTGCGGCACATGCGGATGAACATGTTGGCGAATCGGATTTTCCGAATAGAGACCCCACTTCCCAGGACCTGGTGCGCCAGCTGAATCATGACCTTCACGGCGAGAACCCTCCACAGCGCCTGTGATGGAAAATCCTTGCTCCGCACGTAGATCTTAAAAGTCTCTTCTGGAAGAATGTTGTGATGCAGCTCCTTGTACTGATCCACGTTGTAGCAATCGTCGAGAGACCCACGGTGCTGATCCGCGCCGGTTCTGCACAGACAGTGGGCAAGCGTTATACGCTAAGCAATGATACGGAGCGACGATGATCGTCCACGACGCGGAGGTGCAAAGTGCAATGTGAGTGGAAAGTGATTCACATCAACCACAACGAATTGCTCACCGAATCTGCTCCTCGTTGAGGTTGACCAGCTTCACTCTCATAAACGCCCTGCCCAGCGCAACTTTGTCTTGCATCTGGGTAAGGGGGTAGTCGTACAGCGCAGACTCGCATCTGCCGAGGCAGCCGATAGCGTTCATTCTCGCCTTTGTGGAGATAACTGGTGCAACGGGAGCTAGACTACGGGCCAGGCACGGATGCTCGTGTGATCTCTGCGTTCGTTCGTTCCTTAGTCGTTTCCGAGTGCTAACACTGCTTGCTAGTTCACGGGGAAAATTGGCAAGAGTTTCACTAGGAAAACATGACAACAAAAGTTCAGAATGATTGCATCAACATTGGCAACACAGACTACATCAGACCTAGCAAGGCTGCTGGTCAACTGCCAGCGCAGCACGGTCGACCGCGTGCCAGCACGACTTGGTCGACCGCGCTCCAGCAGAGCAAAGTCGCGGCTTGCCAACGTTGCCCGTCCGCGGTGTGCCAACGCTGCAGTAAGTCGGCTGCACAGCGATGCATCCGCGGGACAGCGGTGCACCAGCTTCGCAGGTGCGTGCAGCTGGTTGGCGCCCAACTCCTCGTCACATGCCCAGCGCAGACACTCCATGCGTGACGGCGCCCACCAGCCACGTCGACCTCGGGATACCACCCCCGAGATCGTACTCGCAGACAACACTCCCCCCGGCGACTTTCGCGCTCGTCGCCCGGGTATCCTGGTTGACCGGGTATTTCGCGGTCCTACCGCGAATTCGCGGCTCCCACGAACTACCGCGATTTCGCGGTTCCCACGGTCCCCCGTGGTTTCGCGCCTCCCACGGACCCCCGTGGTTTCGCGGCTCCCACGGTCGGCTCCGCCCAAGCGAGGACGGGGCCAAACACAACTCCCGTTGACACTCCTCTGCCGCGTTCACGCTTGGGCACTCCCCCCCCGGCCCACACGGCAATACTGCCTGGAGAATAGCCCGTCGGCGTGCACACAACGCACAGCACGCCGGTCACCGCACCAGCCATGCAAAAGGGCATGGCACCTACTGCTGCACGTCGTTGTCACCGTTGCCCACATCGGCCAGACGCACTTGGCCAATTGCAACGGAGCACCGGTTGAAGGCCGGGTAGTGCAGCGCCTTCGTCAGGAAGTCGGCCGGCTGCTCAGCGGTTGGGATGTACTTCAGCGAAAGCTTGCCGCGCTTCACCATGTGCTGCAGCCAGGCCTGTCGCCGCTCCATGTGCTTGAGGTTGCCCGTCAACCCTATGCCCTCGCCGACCGTGATGGCCGACTTGTTGTCCACCCTGAGGACAGTCGGCTTCCCAGCGTCCAGCCGCTGGAACTCCGCGAGGAGGAAGCGAAGGCGACGTCCCTCCTTGCCGGCTTCGACGGCCGCCACGTACTCCGACTCGGTCGACGACAGCGTCGCGCACTTGATGCGCTGGCTCGACCAGGAGACCGCGGCCCCTCCGTAGACGAACACGTAGCCGCCTGTGCTCATCCGGTTCTGCTTGTCAACCGCGTCGTCGGCGTCCACGAAGCCGACCAACTCCAGTGACTCCGGACCACCACCGAACTCCAGGGCGGTGTCTCGCGTGTTGGCGAGGTAGGAGAGGCAGCGGTCGACCTCGCGCCAGTGCTGATCGCTCCTCACCGTGAGGCCGCTCCCCAGCTTGCTGCACGCGAATGCGATGTCCGGCCTCGTCGTCGTCGCCGCGAACTGCAGCGAGCCGACCTTCTGCCTGTACTCCTCCTCCTCGCGCTCCTGCGCCTCCTCGTCGTCGAATGTCTGCTCCGCGTAGGTGGCGACGGAGACCGGCGTCTTCGAGGTGCGCCCGGTCTTCTCCTCGTCGATAAAGCGCCTGCGCAGCTTGTCGGCGTAGCCCTGCTGGTGCAGCCACAGTTTTCGCGCCGGCCTGTCGCGCACGATCTCAAGGCCGAGATACTTCTGCACCGGCGAAATTTCACGCAGCTCGAAAGCGGCCTCCAGCAGCTCCTTCAGCTCCTTCAGCATCGCGGTGCTGCTGCTCGCGGCGAGAAGGTCGTCGACGTAGACCACCACCCAGCAGGTCACCTTGTCGTCGCCAACCTTGAAGTACAGAGCCTCGTCGACTTGGCTCTTCTTCCACCCGGCACCAATCAACACGTCGTTGAGAGCCATGTACCATAGCAGCGGCGACTGCTTCAGCCCATAGAGGCTCTTCAGCAGCTTGCACACCCGGCCGGTCCCGTCGTTGAAGTGGTCCGGCTGGTACATGGTACATGTACAGCACGCGGTCGAGCTTGCTCTGCAAAAAAGGCGTTCTTCATGTCCAGCTGCATCAGGTTGAGGTCGAGGACGGCGACGATGCTGAGGAAAATCCTCAGCGTGACGTAGCTGCTCACCGGCGCGTACGTCTCGTCGTAGTCAGCGCCATACACCTGCGTGAAGCCCTTCACGACCAGCCTCGCCTTTTCGCGCTCGACAGTGTCGTCGATGCGGTACTTCGTTGTCAGCACCCACCGGTTCTTCATTATGTTCACCCCCGACGGGCGTTCGACCAGCTCCCAAGTGCCCATGTTGATGAGGCTACGAATCTCCTACTGCATGGTGGCCTTCACCGCCGGGCCCTTCCAGCTCGCCAACGCCTCCTTCACCGTCATGGTCGAAATGTCCCAACGGTGTTCGGGATCGGCGTGAATATCAGGGTCGAGCTCCAAAAACTCCTCATCGTCCTCGGCGTCATCGTACGCCAGGTCGTCGTCGTCCACATCGTACACCGTGGTGAAGGCAGCGGGGACGAAGAAGTCGGGTGGCCTCCGAATTCGGCCCGACTTTCGAGGTCCGGGCTGCACCTCCACCACGTCGCTTGATATACCTTCATCGAACTGCTCCCCTGTCGTCCGCTCCTCTGAAGCGAGCTCCGCGTTCGACGGTTCCTCTGAAACGCGCTTCCCGTTCGACGGCTCCCCTATCGACGGCTTCTCTGAAACGCGCTTCCCGCTCGAAAGCTCCCCTGCCAACTGCTCCGCGGTCGGCTTCGCTGCTGCATGTTCCCCTGTCTGCTGCCTGCTAGCCGCGGGCTCCTCCGTGGTCTCCTCCGCGGTCGGCGTGGCGATCTCCTCCGCAACTTCCTCCGCGGGCTCCTTCGCGGGTTCCTCCGCGGTGTCCTTCGCGGGTTCCTCCGCGGTGTCCTTCGCGGTTTCCTTCGCGGTCTCCCTCGAGGTTTTCTTCGCGGTCTCCTCCGCGGTCCTCTTCTCCGCGACTGGCTGGGCGTCACGTCGGGCACCCGCGATGCTCTTGGCCGGCGCCACAGGCGACGCCCCACGGCTCCCCTCATCGCCCGAGACCGACACCGGAGTCAGGCTACGCAGTTCGACGGGAAGGGAATGGGAAGAAGGGGCAGGAGATGGCGAGGCAGGGGTGACCTTGACATCCTCATCAGCCCTCTCACTGACCTCGGCGAGCAGAGGAAGCGTCGCCGTCGAGGTGTCCGTCGGCGGGTTGGCCCGCGTCCGCCCCGATGCAGGCCCGAGGTCCGATTTCCACACCTCCAGCGACAGAGTTTCGTAGAACACCACGTCCGACGTGGTGACCACCCGGTTGGCGGTGATGTCGAAGAGCTCCCAGCCTTTGCTCTCCTCCGACACGCCGAGGTGAAGGCCCCATCGAGCCTTCGGCTTCAGCTTCCCACCGCGCTGCTGCTCAGGGACGAGGAATTGCGCCATGCAGCCCCACACCCGCGCCATCAACAAGTCGGGCTTCTGCCTGGTGAGGAGCTGGTACGGCGTCGTCCCCGCGGGCAGCGAAGACCGCTCCAGGCAGTTGCGAACCCAGACGGCCTGCCGCAGAGCGAGATGCCACCAGTGGTGCTGCATGCCCATGTGCAGTAGCATCGTCCGCACCGACTCCACCACCGTCCTCATCTCCCGCTCCGCCATGCCATTCTGTTGCGGGGTGTAAGGGCAGGTCAAGTCGTGAACGATTCCCTTGCTGTCCACGAAGGCGGTGAACTCCTTTCCGAGGAACTCCCCTCCGCGGTCAGAACGCAGTTGCAACACCGAATGCTTCGCCTGCCGCTCCACCAGCACCAGCCACTTCTGGAACTCCAGCAGCACGTCCGACTTCTTGGCGACCGGCCTCACCCACACATAGCGGGTCTGGCGGTCCTTCAGCAGCAAAAAGTATAGGCTGCCGTCCTTGGCAGCTACGCGAAATGGCCCGCACAAATCGATGTGCACGACGGCCAGGACGTCGTCGGCTTCGGAGCCGTGGTCGGGGAAGGTATGCCGTGCCAGCTTCCCACCGACGCACGAAACACACGGTGAGTCGGCGCCAGACACCGACTTGAGGTCCAGCCCAGTGGCGACCTCGTGCTTCACCGAGCTCCGAATGGTGTCCATGCCAACATGCGCCAGCCTCGCGTGCAGCCTGTTCGGGGTTGCTTTCGTCGCCGAGATGATCGCCCGCAAAGCTACCTCCTCTTTCGCGGGCGTCGCCGATTTGACCGCACATGGGCGCAGGTCAGTGCAGAGGACCCGGCCAGTGTACGTCGCGCGACCGAGCACGTCCCCCGCCGCGGAGACGAGCAGCATCCGGTCGCCGTCGTCCTTCAGCGTCACCCCGCTCTCCTTCAGCTGGCCGGCCGAAAGAAGATTCGTCTGCACGCCCGGGACGTAGAGAACGTCGGAGATGAGCACCCGCTTCCCGGCCTCCCCGTGCAGCGCAACTGTGTCACGGCCGCGAACGTCCTGCAGCGCCCCATTGAAGCCACGCACGTGCTTCACGGCGCCTCTCGGCCCCAAGTCGATGAAGGCCTCCTTCGTCCCCATCAAGTGGTGTGAGCAGCCGCTGTTGAGCAGGACCACCGCGGGGTTCGCTTGCACAGCTGCCGCCACCGCCTGGAAATCCTCGCCAGCCTCCGGCGCCAGCGAGACGGTCGGCTCCACAATACCGACCAGCGAGCACGACGCCTCCTTGTCGCCTCGCCCTTTGCCACCCGCGGAAGAGTCGGCGTCCTTCGCCGAGGTCCACTTCGTCGACTGCTTCTCTTTTCGAGGCTGGTTTCCTTGACGCAGACGACGGCTGCCAGACCTCCCGCGGCCTCCCTTGGTTTCGTCGTCGTCCGAGTCAGTGCGGTCGGGACACTCGAAGGAGAGGTGATCGGGATCGCCGCA